GTGAATTCGGGCCACAGAGTTTCCAAGCTAGATACTCTTTCGACTCGACTACCTTGATTGATTTTACTCTTTCGACTCGACTACCTTGATTGATTTTACTCTTTCGACTCTACTACCTTGATTGATTCAACTATTAAAAAACCAGACCATGCAGGCGTAAATGGTAAAATTCGACTGAACGCCAAAAAGTACAACCAAAAACATTAACATAGACGTATGTTGTTATCTTGAATAATTAGGCAGAGACGCGAAAAAAAGAAAACAAGCAAAATCAATGTTTTGTCTACTAAACCACTACAAACTGTGTAAAGCATTTGCAAAGTTTTACATCTCGTTTTGCTGGAATTCAATTCAAACTTTTGAACTCTGAAGAGAGTAAACATCGATATAAGGTTACATGATTATTGAGCTTCATGATCTTCTTTTGAAATCTTTATTTCGTTAAAATAATGAAAGCTGTAGGGATTGGGTTGGTATTGGGTTTTAGATTGAGCATTTCCTATGTTGTAGAATAATTTAGGACAGAATTTGTTCATGTTTTAAGTAAATAAAACAATAGAAGTGAACATGTAATTTATAATTCTGTCAACTTTACATTAGAGTTTTGAAGTTGATCGTTATGCTTTTGCTCTTCTATTTAAAGAGCATTTACCATTTAACTCTTCGTTATGTCTTAATCTAAACAATGCAGGTTGTAACGTGTGCATGCTCCCTCCCCTCCCCCTTCTCTCTCTGTCCCCCTCTTAAGTTATCTCTTCCGTACTCTCTCTCTCACACCCCCTCTTTAGTTCTCTCTTCCGTACTCTCCCTCTCCTTCTTTAGTTCTCTCTTCCATACCCTCTCTCTCACACCCCCTCTTTAGTTCTCTCTTCCGTACTCTCCCTCTCCTTCTTTAGTTCTCTCTTCCGTACTCTCTCTCTCCTTCTTTAGTTATCTCTTCCGTACTCTCTCTCTCGCACCCCCTCTTTAGTTCTCTCTTCCATACCCTCTCTCTCACACCCCCTCTTCAGTTCTCTTTTCCGTACTATCTCTCTCTCTCTCTCTTCCTCTTTAGTTCTCTCTTCATTACTCTCTCTCTCTCCTTCTCTCTCTCTGTATCTCTATTTCTCTCTCCAGCTCCCCTCCCTCTTTTTAAATGCTTCTCTCTCCAATACACAAAAACAAATCTCTGGCAAATGTTCCTCTCTCTTACATGATATTGTAATGGATGTCCCCCCCTTTAAACCTGCATAATCTGTCACTAACCAATGTTCAAGTCGAGGGTGAAAATATGTCCCGTCTCTCTGGTGTTAAATACATGCCTGTATTCCCGTTGATGACAACGGGTTAAATTATAACTGTATACTAATTATACCCTCCCCGCACCTTGATTAACTTTCGAAAATACTTTACACATAAGAGAGATGTAAATGCCAGACGATTTCCAATTCCAATGATTTATTAAGCATTTTATTGCAAACTCTATGATTCTCTTGCAAGTAATATTATATCAAGCTGATGAACGATTTGGTAGGAAAAGAGATATTAGTGATATATTGAGGAAGACAAAGAAATGGTATTAAGAGCTTACATATTCGAAATGAAATCTAAAGTCATGTCACTTTATTTCTTACATAATTTTCAGAGTAGTAGTAGTAGCTGTCTGTCGCGAAGCGACAATGACCGCCTTCATTTTCACTTTACAGCTGTTCTCCATACAGCTCGCTGGCCTGCAGCAGTTGTCCAAGGCTTGGTTTCAATTTGCCTCCGCTTAAGGTTCCTCTTGATCGTGTCTTTGTAGCGAAGCCGTGGACGACCAATCCCTCTTTCGCCAGCGGGTAGTTGCGAGAATAGTACTTGCTTTGGTAACCTCTCAGAGGGCATCCTGATGACATGGCCTGTCCATCGTAGGTTCTTCCTGATGAGCAGGTCCTCCATAGAAGGAAGGTTTGCTCGCTCTAGTACCTCTTTGTTGGTCACCTTGTCCTTCCAACTGATTCTCATGATTGCTCGAAGGTGTCTCATCATGAACGCGTGAAGTTTCTTTACTTGACTTGTGTAGAGAGTCCAGCTTTCCGCACCGTATAAGAGAGTGGATAAGACGATAGCCCTGTAGATTTTGCACTTCACTCTTGTTGAGACATGATGGTTGTTCCATAGCCTGGTTCGCAGTCTTCCAAAGGCACTGCTGGCCTTTGACATTCTTTTCACCAGCTCAGAGTCGATGCGTCCGTCTTTTGATATAGTGCTGCCGAGGTAAGTGAAGTCATCTACCTGGTTTAGGGCTGTCCCATCCACTAGGATCTCCTCCTCCTCTCGGTGGTCTGTACCTGGTTGGAATAGTACTTCAGTCTTTTTGATGTTTATTTGTAGACCGAACTTCTTTGATGCTGATGAAAATACATCTATAACATGTTGCATCTGCTCTGGTGTATGAGAAACAAGAGCACTGTCATCTGCAAAGAGGAGTTCCCTCACGAGAATCTGTGTAGACTTCGTCTTAGCTTTGAAGTGTGCGACATTGAATAGGTCGGCGTCTTGACGTGATTGTATGTAAACGCCTTCCTCAAAGTCAGCAAAGGCCTCCTCCAGCATCGCCGAGAGAAAGATAGAGAACAGCGTAGGGGCCAACACACATCCTTGTTTTACACCGTTACTTACAGGGAAGCTATGGGATGTTTCGCCTGCTTCCTTGACTTTAGCCATCATACCCGTATGTAAGGACTCTACCATTCCGGTGAACTTCTCGGGACATCCATACTTTCGTAGTAGTTCCCAAAGACCTGTCCTACCAACAGTGTCAAAGGCTTTCGTGAAATCGACAAAAACCACATAGAGGGATCGGTTGTGCTCAATGCACTTCTCCTGTAGTTGTCTGAGGCAGAAGATCATATCTACTGTGCTGCGGTTGTTCCTAAATCCGCATTGCGTCTCCGGCAATATATCTGGTGCTATGTGGGTATTCAATCTGTTCAGAAGGATCCTGGCAAAAACTTTCCCTGCTATTGACAATAGCGATATTCCTCTGTAGTTTCCACATTGAGTTCTATCTCCTTTTTTGAAGATGGCGACAATATTAGCATCCTTCCATTCCTGAGGTACGGAGCCTTCTGCCCATGCTTGTTGTATCAGCATTAGTAAACTGTTGGTTAGTGTGGCTCCTCCGTGCTTCCATATCTCGCTTGGTATCCCATCCACTCCGGGTGCCTTGCCATCACCCAAGGAGGCAATTGCCAGGTTTAGCTCTTTTCGTGTTGGAATATCATCGAGTGCAGTAACTACAGGTCGCTGGTTGATCCTATCACGCGCTGCAGGCTCGATATCTCCTGGCTGGTTGAGTAGTGTCTCAAAATGCTGCGACCATCGTTCAAGCACCCTTTTGTTGTCTGAAAAGGTTGTGTTACCGTCCAGGGACTTGAGATGAACTGTACTCCTAGTCTGGGGGCCCCCAGACTTCTTTCAGTCCAGTGTAGAAGGACTTCATGTCATTATTGTCTGCGGAGCGCTGCAGGTCCTCTGCCTTTTTCTCCCACCAGGTGGTTTTCATTTTCCGTGTGTACCTCTGCAAGTGTCTGCAGGCTTCCTTGTACGCGGTGGTGGTTGACCTGGTGCTTCTAGTCTGTAATACACGTTGGTGTGTTTCATTCCTTTTCTTCATGAGTATCAGAAGCTCGGAGTCTTCTGGGTCAAACCAGTCCTGGTGTTTTCGCTCTGGTTTACCGAGGGTGTTGCTCGCTGTGTCATATACTACTTTGCTGAGTGATGCCCAGGTCTGATCAACTGTCATTCCCTCTTGCACTCCCCAAGTCGCCAGAGCTTTCTCCATATCTTGCTCTAGCTTTAGCCGTTGTGTGTTGACGTGTAGCCGGTCTGTGTTCAGCTTTGCAAGTTTAGTAGCTCCTTGCTTCCTACGCTTTGAACGTAAAGCAAATGCAATCTTTGATCTTAGTAGCTGGTGATCGGTCAAGCAATTAGCTCCACGCATAGTTCTTGTGCTGTGAACATCCATTCTGTCTCGTTGTCTTGTTATGATGTAATCAATCAGGTGCCAATGCTTAGAGCGAGGGTGCATCCAGGTGGTTTTGTGTTCTTCCCTCTGCTTGAACACGGTGTTTGTCAGTAGGAGTTCGAACTCAGAGCACAGCGCTAGAAGTAGCTCACCATTGGTGTTGCATTTACCGATTCCGTGCCTGCCTAACACCGACTGCCATTTTTCATAGTCTCGTCCTACCCGGGCATTGAAGTCTCCCATCAATATCAGCTTGTCAGTCCGGGGGTGTCCCGCAACGTTCGTCTAAGCTGATTGTAGAAGTTCTCCTTTGTTTCATCCGGACTCGTCATGGTTGGTGCGTATACACTGATGAGAGTAGCATTTCCCTTCTTCATCAGTGGTACTGTCATTGTCATAATTCTATCATTCACCGCTTTAGGCATTTCTGTGAGCTTCGCTAAGATCTCTTTTCTGATGGCGAATCCCACTCCAGCCTCTCGTCGTACCCCGTCCGGCTTGCCGCTCCAGAAGAATGTGTAGCCCATGTCATCGAGCCTACCTGACTCGGAGAAACGTGTTTCACTCAGAGCAGCAATGTCAATTTTGTACTTCTCCAGCTCCATGGCTACAAGGGCAGTCCTTCTCTCTGGCCTGCCAGTTCCTTCCCGATCGAGGAGTGTCCTGACATTCCACTGTCCAAACGTCATTGTAGTAATTCCGCTGGTGTCATCTTTTTGTTGTTGTTGTTGTTTGCTTCCTAGCATACTTGGCACTGTCGACGGAAGTCCTGATCTAACAGCGCGGTCCTTGTTAACCCGGAAGACGACCGAACCGGTATGAAGTTTCATACTGTTGCGCATAGTGAAGGCTGCTTGCAAAGGTGGATAAGTACCGGTAGCTCTTGCAAGTTACTACCGGCACTCTCTCGGGGAACTGGTGGCAGTTTCACACCGGCGAGGACAAACCAGGACGGGTGTGAACCACTAGACCCTGCAGTGACTGGTCGAAGGATGTCGGGAGTTCCGTATCGTCAATCGCCCTCAATGCTGTCACGGTAGCATGGTTTTCTGTTAGGGTTTGCTCCCTTAGCCTTAGTTAGATTCTAAAGAGAACCTGAACCACAGGGCAGTGGTTACAACTAAGCATGGCAAAACCAATTAACAATTATTAAAAGAATGAGGCGATTACAATTACTCTTATGATAAGAGTACTAATTGAACCAACAAAATATTACCTTACTTTATTGATTATATCTATTCAGTGTTGTGATAAAAACACTGATTATAGTAGAGAAACAAAGATTTTACATAAACTTCCCCCCGCCATTGTAATATACATGATGACAGTTGCATATGACAACTAAGCCTATATGATATGTTGCACGCTGATACGCCTGCATACTCAGACATGCGATTATGGTCTATTTATGTTCAATGCTAAGAGCATTTCTGTATATACAGAGTATTAACGATTGGTGTAACAAGCGCAAAGTAATACATGTTCATCTATTCAGTATTTTGTATTAACATATCAAAAAATTACGGAAGTTCCTTTCAGAGTTAATATTTGCTTTCCGTGTGTATATGACCACATCTATGTACAGCCAAATGAGATTCTGCTATTATTATGGAAATAAGCCAACTGGTTATATTTTCTATCGTATTGGCCTACATCTACCATGTCTACATCTATTTAAGTCTTCTCATGTAATCTGTGTAATGTTTTGTTTAACCTAAATATTTTGAAAATACAATTTTAGGAACTGAAAACTAATACATGTAGATCAGATGAAATACGTATAAGTTCGGAATATCCATAACGGTACTATGGAACACGACTTAAAATTAAATATATGACATGAAAAGATTATGGGTAAAATCGGAATTATAATCACAGGCATTATAAAGAACATTATTAGCTTCAACAACAAATGTATCGTAGGAAAACAGGTAGCAAATAATATACAGCAATACAATGTCATAATGTCACGGTTATGCTTCCACCCCAATATCAAAGGATTCATAAGTGATGTTCTTAAAATAAATTCAACATATAATATTTTGTTTCTCTCTCCTTAATTTTCATTTTTTTAGGGTGGTTAGTTTTACATTCATTTAGAACATTAAAAGCAGTTATAGATATTTTTGAGATCTGGTCAAGCGACTGTCTGAAAACAAAATAGACAGCTGATTGTGTTTTATATAAACACTGTTGTATACCTTAGTTTTACGGCATCACCAACATGAGAGGAAATTGACACATTCGTGACGTAGTCTTGCTGCAAAGCACACGCTCACGCACATAATATACACACACACACATACGCACGCACACATGGCTTGGCAGTTTGGTCCAAATTCTTTAGTTTTCATATATCAGGCATAAATGTTCATTTTTATTCTGCCCTATCTCTATTTCCTTCTTTCCTAAGCGCATAGGGACTTTCTTTGTGTTAGTGATATGCGCTATAGAAGTAACGTTCATTATTATTATTATATCTTGTCATATTTCCAATTTGAAGAATTTAAATATACATTTTCTTTTCTTTGTGATTTGCTTTTCGCGCTGTCTTCGCGTAGATAGGTCGTCTATTCCCTTTGTGTCTCCGTCTAATCTCCCACATCGTTATTGTGTAACATTGATTCGCATATACATGTATTCCGTTCCATAAAATGCAGTTCACATAGTTTAAATGTCATCGACTACATAATTTAGAATAACGTTATTTACTGCTATACTTAGCGGACAATAAATTGTGTATGTGGCCACAAAGAAATGTAAAACAAATCAATAATATTTCTAACAGACATCAGATAAATGACAAGTATACCAGGCGCGTCAAAGACCAAGATTATATCAGACCGAATACCTGTACAGAAACCGGTTAAATATGCGTAGACAAGGTTGGACATATTGGACATGGCCCGAATAACAACTAACACGCCTTTTTTAATGCATATACGTTCAGTACGTCTACATAATACGTACGTGGAAAAATATTTAAAAACAGAGACAAACAAAACCGTAAAGAAACTGTGAAAGATATACTTCTCTAAAGAGTGCTGTGTCTTATACAATCAATGTTTATACTCTTTATTTAAATTATTCGTTATTTCATATTCATTGTTTACTAATTGAGTTCGTTATTCTTTCACGTATTCGTATTTACTTTATCTATTTCAAAGTGGCGGTAGATACACACAAAATTGAATTGCTCCGGTTATAATAAGTGACCCTTGTAATAACTACTCGAATTTTTTAATTGAATTTCTATATCCAGATATCTTCTTTATCTTGCCAAAAAGAAAACTCAAATCTACATTAAAAAACATCACGCTCTGCATGCCATTCTTGTATATTTTATAAATTCACTTTGTTGAAATTACATATTCGGTGTTTGTATACAATATGGGTCAGTGAATGATTATGAAGTTGTATGTCTATTACTCTTTTCAACCATCCCAGCAGTAGATAGTGTATGAACAAAAAGTCAACTGGTTTACTTTTTTCGCTTGCGACGTCTTACGTCCACAGACGCTTCATCAGACCGACCATGATGACGTTCCTCGACCACGTCACCGTGTTCATGGGTCAACAATCATTTGGTGCTAAAGACCAGTCATCCTGATGAAGGACCCCGGAGTGGATCTGAAACATCGTAAGCTAAAATAATGTAAGTAAATCTGACATGATGAAGATTATCTGTTGATTCCTTATAAACTGAGTGCTTTCTGGGAAGCATCCATTACTATCTTTACCAGGAAAATTAGCAATATTTTCTCTGGGGATGTATCAGTAAGAACGAGTTGAGAAATCAGATCTTCTTCGTTACTTATGATTCCGCCTACATGGCTTTTATCCAAGGTGGTGGATTCCTCGTTGGGTTTCCCACCATAAGATACCAGAGGGGTAATCTCAGACATGTCTTCAGGTAGGACTTGTATTTCATGGCTTGGCGATTGTTCAGAAGGTTGAATGCTACTAACGTTGTTCATATCATCTCCAGGATGAACTTCTTCTGAGGACACTTCTTCAGAAGTCACTTCAGATTCATCCAACTCCTCTGTACTGCGCTCCGGTGATTGGTCAAGATGTTGACTCCTACTTCCATCTGTCAAGTCCTCCTGGGTTTTGGAAGCCATGTCTCCTGTATGCCCATCTTGAGGACTGTGGTTACTGCTAGCTGTAGCTTCCTGAAGTACCTGGATGCCAATGTGTCCTTTGGTTCGGTCCTGTTCTAGAGAGGTCTCATCTCTATAAGAGAGCTGATGATCATTGACGTCTTCGTTGGCATATTCATCATCGATCTGTTCCTCTGCTACACCTGACCGGCAACAAGAAAAAAAAAAGTTTTTTTTTCTTCTCTCAAAGCATATCGAATCGGAATTATCATGATTGTGTAGAACTTATCGCAGTGAATTCGAAATTTATTTTATGTTTATGTTAACCAGGGAGTAGGCGAGAACTTGACGTTACTATATAATCAGCATCGTATTGGGTTTTTTCGTGTGCACAGCTATAATGAGGAAATTGCTAACTGCAAGAAGTACCTATTAAGCTCCCTCTTTCTTTTTTTTCTCTGCATTATGTCACCTTAGTCTCTATATCAGCAGTATACATTTGGGAAATGAACTTGCTTCAGAAATACTACCAATCTTTTTTTAAGCACATGGGCCGTATTGTACACCAAATATAATAGCATGATGCTGAAGTGTTGAATGGGGTCCTTATTACAACACTACAATTGTTCTTAATGAAAATATACGTTACCTGTGCTGAGATACAGGTCTGCAAGGTTGACTAACTTGGCGGCTTTCAGCGCCTTCGTTAGCTCAACCCGTTCATTTTCCCTGGACACACCTCTTCTCCATTGTTTCAGCATGTGACGAGTTCCATCACTGGTAACTCGGTTGAACTTCACATTGGTCATGAGCGCTCTCTGTATATCACCCTGTAGGATTCCCAGCTGACCAGCAAGGCTGTCGATCTTGGCTTCATCGTAAAGATCGTCAGCTATCTGCTGTAATATGCCTGCAAACTCATCATCTGGGGGCTCCTCTCTAGAATGGTACACGGTAAACAAAAAAAGACAAACTTGGGGTGGTCAGAGAACGTTGGTATGACGTATACACTTAAAAAGTAAAGTAAAATCTTTACTTAGGTGAAAATAGGAAGGGAAAAATACGTTCTTCCAGTGATGAGACCATACTCAACATGCTCAAATTATTGATATCAATTCATGAAAGGATTTTACTTTTAACTCTAATCACCATAGACAAGAATGCAGCTAAGATAATATTTTTTTGTTAATGAGTTGTAATCTTGTATTCACTTCTGCTTCTACATAATCACAGGTGGTCATGATTTTTTATTCAAAGAACATAAGTGCTGTCGTACTTTTAAAACTGTTATTGACAGTCTAGCACAGTGGCGGATCCAGGGGGGGGGGGGCCGGGGGGCCCGGCCCCCCCCCTTGAGAAAAAAATCATGCAAAATCATGCGATTTTTACCTTTTTTGGGGGTTGGGCCCCCCCCCCCCCCTGGCGCTCAAGGGGGGGGGGTGCAAATTTTAAAATTTTCGAGGACCAAAAAAAAAAATTGTGCTCACTACACCCCCCCCCCCCCCCCCCCCCACTGAGCGACTTTTCGGCTGGCTGAGTCGTTGCGATTTTTTTTTTGGGACTCCAAAAAAAAAATGTCCGCTTACCCCCCCCCCCCCCCCCCCCCCCCCCCCCCCCCCCCCCCCCCCACTGAGCGACTTTTCGGCCGGCGCGATTTTCAAATTTTCGGGAGCAAAAAAAAAAAAAAAGTTGGGCCCCCTCCCCTCCCCTAAGAAATCCTGGATCCGCGCCTGGTCTAGCATCACTCATTTTACACACAAAAGTGCATTCCATAGTAGTTTTGTCACTATAAGATAAATAATGCGTTTATTGTCATGCAAAGAATATATATATTTCATCTCACCCTGCTTGTAATATATGACTCCTTCCCAGTCCTCCGCTTGAATTATCCTCAAAAGATGATGTGCCTGTCATGAAGGAATGAAGTAAGTTTGAATGAAGAAAAAAAAAAGATACATACTTTACTGATCTTTATCGTTCAATGTATCTCTATGTGTTATTTTAACTTGTAAAGTATAAATAATGCACAAGCATGTAAGCTCTAGCGTCCTTGGATAATATAATCGAATGGTGATATTTTTGGCATAATGACAACTAAAACAGACAAGACATATATCAATTTAGATTGAGGACCATATTAGACTTGATAAGCTTCACATTATCAATATTTTAACAAGTAACCAAAGATGGAATAGGAGTTATGTAGCATATTGTAGATATCAAAATAGGAGTTGGAAAGGGAAAATGAGATTGGAAAGTTAAGTCTTACCACCCTGAGCTTGTTTCCCAGAGGTCACCCAAGGAATGAAACTCCATCGATGTGTCTCCGCTTTCTTCTTCTGCTCTGCTGATCGTATCTCACTTTCTAGTTGAATTTTGGTTCTCAGCTTCCAGGTCTCACGCTCAAGTTGCTCCAAAAGCTGTTCCTTATAGTCATGCTCCTTCTTTAGCTCTTCAACTTGCTGTCTTAGAGTCGTCTCATTTCGTTCTTTCTCCCTTACGGTTTCAATCAAAGTGTCTACGCGTTGTTGCTGAGAGAAGAGTTTCTTCGTCATATCTGCTGCCATTGAGCGCTTCTCTTTCTCAGATATTGCTCTGTCTTGCTTTCTTCCTTTCTCTAACTCTTTAACTTGTTGTGTCAGCGTCGTCTCATTTCGCTCTTTGTTCCCTACGGTTTCTGTCAAAGTGTTTACATGCTGTTGCTTAGAATCGAGTTTCTTCCTCATTTCTTCTGCCAATGAGCGCTTTGCTTCCTCAGATCTTCCTCTGTCTTTTTCAGCTTTTACTCTGTCTTCCTCTCTTCCTCTCTTTAGCTCCTCAACTTGTTGTGTTAGAGTCGTCTCATTTCGCTCTTTCTCTCCTACGATTTCTGTCAAAGTGTCAACTTGCTGTTGTTTAGACTCGAGTTTCTTCGTCATTTCTGCTGCCAATAAGCGCTTCTCTTTCTCCGATCTTGCTCTGTCTTCCTCTCTCCCTTTCTTTAATTCCTGTTTTCGCTCTTCGACCTCTGTGAACATCTTCTGATTAGCTTCTTTCGCTTCTTTCTTGGTTTTCTCATAAAATAGCCCACATCTTGGATTCTTGCATATCTTTTTTAGATCATTAGCTGCTAACGTTCTGTCACCTTCATGAAGGCATCCACGTAGAAGGTCAAGCCACTGCAACTTATCCTCATCTGAGTGAATGGGACCAGGTGCAGGTATTTCGTAGATATAAGTGATCTTGAGCTTCTTCAATTCATCTATCACCGTGGGGATGTCTTCGTAAGGAAGTAGAGCACATAGAGGGACGCGGCCTATTTAATCGAAACATATTCAATGAGTTTACTCGAAATTCCGTCCAAAGTCATGATATTTGTATGACATATACATACAACACAGTGGATTTTTGCGAATAGACTGTCACTGAACTTGGACAAAACTAATTTCATATTATTTAGCGATTCATTATCCGATTTACCAGGAGATATCTATTTCAACAATGTTAAAATTAAGAAAGTAAAATCGGCCAAGTTTCTTGGCCTGTTTATCGACGATAAAATGTCCCGGAAAATACATACAAATTATTTGTGTTCATTACTATCAAGAAATGCTGGTGTGATATACAAACTGAAACCTATGTTCCCATCATATGTATTGCAAATGTTGTACTCCACTTTAATGTTGCCCTACTTGAACTATGGTATTCTTGCCTGAGGTAGTTCATTGAAACTTCAACTGGACAAGATCCTGGTTGTTCGAAAAAGAGCAATACGAACAATTTGCCTATTCGTACTCACTCGAGCCTTCTTTTCTTTAATACTAAAGTACTGAGAGTTCGGGATATTTTTAATTTACAATTAGGCTGCCTCATGTTTCAGCTGCCCCAGCTGAAACGAACTGCCCCAGGCACTATCTTATTTGTTTAAGAAAAGAAATCAAGTCCACGAATATCCTACCCAACAGGCGTTTTCCTATCACCTTCATATAGAACGAGTACACGCTTTGCTCAAAATATTATACAGGTCCTAAGTTCCGGAATTCTTTCGATTCTATGATTAAAAGGTCTGTAAGTGTACATATATTCAGAAGTAAATTGAAAAGTTATTATTTGAATACATATTGTCGTTCCTGATTCCTGACTATTCTTGTCTCCAAGCTGTATACTTTTGTTCATTAAAATGAGTAACTAACGGTATGACCATACAAACAATGTTTATAATATACTCGCATCGAGGACAAACTTTATTGTTATATTGTCTTTGTCTTTTCCTTGTCTTTTGTAGTTAATTGTGAGTATCGGTTCATGTACCCCTGTAATCACCCTTTCCCTGTTTTAGCGTATATTTGTATTTTATAAACTTTACTTTAGTTAATTATGTCATTTGTAGTTTAAGGGGCCTATCCACAACAAGCTCTGCTTTTCCATAGGCTCCGCCACTATATCTCTTAAGTTTAACTTAATGGACAATATTCTTAATAGTGTGTACCAATATTGTATGAACATGCATATTATAATCATTTTCAATATGTTGTTACACTCTTTGTAAAATGAGATATTGTGGAAACCAATAAACTATCTAACTATCTAACACAAAATTATGTCACATACAACCTTTTTTCTGGGGGGGGGGGGTGACACAAAGAATGGAGAAAATCTGACATGCTTCCTTATCTATGCGGGCTCTTATCAGTATTCTCAGTGGCATAGACTTTCCCGCCATTTTTAAGTTGTATAAAGAATGGGCAAAATCGAGTGAGGAAAGTAGAGAGGGAGAGAGAGAGAGAAAGAGAGAGAGAGAGAGAAGGGTGATAAAGGAAGGAGACTGAAGAGGAGCCGCTATTAGGAGTAAATTGAAGTGAGTAATGAGATAGTAATACATTTACAACTATGATAATGCAAATGAAATATAATATTAATGATAGGAAATTTAGTCGGGAAAATCATGATAGAATAGACTGATGATATTGTTTATGATATTGTTTAACCACAACAAATTCTAAAGATCGGTAGTTCGAAGGAATTAATTAACAAATAAAGGATATAAATCAAGACCACGTCGGGTTAGATTGATATAATACCGGTATTTGACGTAAGCCTTGCCATGATCAACTTTCATCACCCCCCCCCCCCCATGCCTCAGCTTATGCTGAAAAGATGGGTAGCATCACGACTTGCATGAACGCGACCATTCGTCCAACACCCCCCCCCCCCCTTTCGGTTGTGCCGAAAGGGTGCGTTGGGAGTGTCGCGTCGCGTCGGGTAGACTGGAACGCGACCATTCGTAAACAGCCCCCCCCCCCCCGTTTTGCCCAAAGGATGCGTTGATTAGTCTTTCACACCAGTCGTTTATAAAAGAATTAAAGGAATAGAAACAGATTAAAAATTAAACTATTAAATAAAACTAGTTTTTACGTAGTCTTGCAGATCAGGCGTTTATAAGAATTAAATAAATAAATAACACAATCAAATAATTTACTTTGATATTAACAAATGTCAAATAAAGGTGTTTGCCTAGTCTTGCATATTAGGCGTGTATTTATTTTAAAAAATATATTCATATCCATTTCTTTTATAATTGTATGGAATTGAGAACCTCCCCCCGCCGGCCCGCTACTCCATTAATAATTAATTTTAATTATTAGTTATTTCATTCGTAAAGACTCTTATGCATGAAGTCTACATCAAACAAAATAATTCTATACATAGAAAGAAATGAATATTGTTTTTATTTGACATTTTAAAATATTTATTGAATTTATTCATTGATTTAATTCTTATAAACGCCTAATCTGCAAGACTTCGTAAAAACTAGTTTTTATTTAATTTTGAATCTGTTTCTATTTTGAATATTTCAATTGAAACGACTAACATTTCTAGCCCTTAATTTCTATTAAAACGACTGATGTGAAAGACTAGTCAACGCACCCTTTCCAGACGTCAAAACTTGTTTTTATTGAATTTCAATCTGTTTCTTTTTTTATTATTTATGTTTAAACGACTTAAATTTCTATTTCATTAAATTCTATTATAAACGACTGAAGTGGAAGACTAGTCAGCGCAACCTTTCGGCAAAACCGGGAAGGGGGAGGGGGTGGGGGGCTTTGGACGAATGGTCGCGTTCCAGTCAACGCGACGCGACGCGACACTCCCAACGCACTCTTTCGGCACAACTGGGGGGAGGGGGGGGGGGTGGAGGGCTTTGGACGAACGGTCGCGTTCAAGTCAACGCGACTCTACCCACCCTTTCGTCATAACCCTAATCGTTTTATTTTTTTGATGTTCAAATTGTTGACTGTGATTTGTCAGATCATGGCCTTATGTCTCACACGTAGATCCATGGTCAGATGATTAAAGTCAACCATGTCAACGCCGGGGGGGGGGGGGGGGGGGGGGGGGTAGATGTTTTTGGGGGAATGGTACATAGTAAACACCATGCCCGTTTCAAACGAATTACCAGGATGGTCTCAAAAAACAAAATCTGGTAAAATCCCCGTGATTATTCGATTGGTTACCAACCGAGGATATGAGATGATATGTGCATGCATATTAAAGGAAACCAAAACCTTTATACTAAGTTAATTTTATTGTAAAGTTTAAGATATTTGAAAAATATCAGTGAAAATTTGAACAAAATCGGACAAGGAATAAGGAAGTAAGAGCTTTTTAAATTACTAGTCACTAGAGGGCGGTATTCAATTTGATGACATCATCTCTGAACAACTCTCCATGCCTTTTGTACATAAAATTTCACAATTTTTTTGTTTTCTTCATATTTATTTGTGTTCTTGATCCGACTTCATAACATGTGAAGTAGAATATCATTTTGCATTCTATATCTTGCTTTCAGGGGAGTACATTATCTCAATCACAAGAAAGAAGGAAAAACATGAAATTTGATGTACAAAAGGCATGGAGAGTTGTTTACAGATGATGTCATCGAATTGAATACCGCCCTCTAGTGACTAGTAGTTTAAAAAAACTCTTACTTCCTTAATCCTTGCCCGATTTTGTTCAAATTTTCACTGATATTTTTCAAACATCTTAAACTTTACAATAAAAGTAACTTTGTATGAAGGTTTTGGTTTCCTTTAAATCTAATAGAAAAAAAAAGAATCTTTTTCCAGCATTTCAATGGATGGTATAATAATCAAATTAATGGGGAAGAAGTGTTATCACATCGGCCTATCATACATATTAACACAGGCCTACACAAGCAGAGGTAAGTATTAACATGCAATTTACGAAGAAAGGAAAAAGTATATAATTTACAAATGAACGGAAAAGGGGCTTGTAAGAGTCCACGATATCAACGTGATCAGAATTAATGGTGTGTAATTAATATGGATAATATAGACAACTTAGATAAATACTTGATTTCAAGGTCAAATCATGTACTGGAGACTATTTAACTCTACTCTCGATCTATTTGTCGTTATTTCTTGACTTTGACATAAGCCCCTTGATCCCTCTTCTTTTTCTCCTTCTTTCCCATCTGTACATATACCATATATTCCTACTTAACCTCTGCACTCAGAGAGCATTAACTCATTGATGTCTCGATTTGGTGTCAGCTTGGGTTTGTCCATATTAGATCGCTCTCCCATGGGTGGGTTATTCTTGCTCATATGGCGTATATTTTAACAAACATGGTGGCCCGAATTCACAATGGAGGTTTGTCGACAAACCTAGGTTTTCGTGCGTCATATGACGCGTTTCGACGCGTTTTTGGAAACCAAGGGGGTGTTTCACAAAGATCCTAAGTTGAACTTATCTCTAAGTTGGACATTATGGAAAGCCGTTAGCATCTATGAAAATATCTTGTAAACGTTATTTTAAAAGGCATGTAATGTTAATTAAAATCGTTCATATTTTATATTATCAAGGAGATTTCATGTTCTTGATGTGGAATTTATAAAAAGTCTAAATTACTTGAATTTTTGCTTTTGAATATATTTCATTTTGAGGCTACAAATGGCTTTTAATAATATTTAAGTCCAACTTAGAGTTAAGTTAGGTTACCCCTCTGGATTGTAAAAAACGCTTCCAAACGCGTTATAATGATGTACATAAACCTAGGTTTGTCGACAAACCTCCTTAGTGAATTCGGGCCGGTGAGTTTGTTAGCTCACCCGGTGTGATGGGGATGTGCGCATATTCGGGTATACTTGTTGTGGTAATCCATGTTGTGGTCGATGCATCGTTGGGTAGTTGTTTTCTGAGAGTATTTTGTGAATGGTATATATTCCATATTTGTTGTTGTATTCATGAATCAGTTATCTTTGTCACACCATATGAGGGGGCCTTAACTTAAGA